AATAATTCAGGTGATGGAACAAAGTATTTTCAATCATAAGTAGTAACTCAGTTTATACAGGAGGAAGGTTTTCAGTCATAAATCATAACTCAAATTATAGAGGAAAAAATTTTCAGTCATATCACTCTGGTGATAGAGCAAAATTGTATCCAGTCATAAATGATAACTCAGGTAAAAGTAAAATACTTCCAATTATAAATGATAATTCAGGTGATAGAAAATAGTGTTCCCAGTCATTTTTTTATTCGAGTTATAGAGCAAGAATGGTAACTCGGGTTATAGAGAACAACTGTTTTTAGTCATAAATGATAACAGGTTATAGAGACAGAATTTCTCCTGTCATAAATCATAACTCAGATGATAGAGAAACAACATTTCCAGTCATAAATGATAATTTAGGTGATTGTTAACAAAATGTTTCCAGTCATGTGATATCTCAAATTTTGGATGAAGAAAGTTTCTAGTCATAAATAACTCCAGTCTTAGAGAACATAATGGTTTCAGTCATAAGTGATAACTCAAGTTATTGAGAATGTTTCTAGTCATAAATTATAACTTGTGATAAACATTTCCAATCATAAATGATAATTGAGGTGATGGAACACAAAATGTTTTCAGTTATAAATCATAATTCAGGTTATAGAGGAAGTCGATTTCCTGTAATAAATAACTCAGAACATAATATCTTCAATCATAAATGATGTCAGGTAATAGAGAAACATTTTTCAGTCATAAATGATAGTTCAGATGATAGAGAACAAAATGTTTTCAGTCATAAATGTAACTCAGATAATTGAGAAAGAGGGTTTTCAGTCTTAAATTATAACTCAGGTGATAGAGAAACATTTCCAGTGATAAATGATAATTTGGCAGACAAAGTTTTTCAGTAGCATAGTCATGGTGATAGGAGTCACAGCAAGTGCATCCATGGAGAGCCACTGCCTTTTTACCTGGACCTTCAAGTGTTGTCTTGTACTAGAAAGTTGAGCTTCCAAATCCAAGCCTCACTGGCCTTGTATGGCAGGAGTATGTAATCACATTCAGTCCTAGATATTATTTACTGCACTGTGCCATTTCTACAGCAGGTATGAGAAGCTCAATCCAGTCAACCCAGAGTACAGATATGTGATGGCTAAACTCAGCGAGGTCAGTTCTTGTTCATAGCACAGGGGGTAGCAGTGTTGGGGGCCACTTTCATCCACTCAGTCAGGCCTAGCCTGGGGAGGCTACATCACTTTCCACATGTGGTCCAGGTCATGTGTCCTCAGAAGCTCTATGTATCCCACCCCTTACTTCCACAGGCCACACTAACTCATTGGAAAGCTGGAAAAATGTGCTGAATGATCAGGGGTGGGATTTGGAGAACACCATCTCTGCCACCATCTCTTTGGCGAGTCCTCTACTGTCCACCTGCTTCCATGCCACCTCATTTTCCCTAGGGTTAGGGTCATCGGCTTATTGCAATAGCTTCCAGCAGCACCCAGAGTAATTTCCCCAAAGTTAGGCACTGACCTTTCCACACCTCCACTCAGAAAGTATAACCTATGACCTCACCTATAAGTGGAACCTAATCAACAAAACAAACAAAAGAGCAAAAAAGAACCAGAGACATGGAAATAAAAAACAAACTGACAGTGACCAAAGGGAAGAGGGAAGGGGGATAATGGAGGAAAAAAGAGGAGTCAAGTCAAGGAACATGTACAAAGGACCCATGGACAAGGACAATGGGGTGGGGATGTCTTTGGGAGCAGGAGTTGGATGTGGCATGGAAGAGCAACAGGGGGGAAAAATGCGGGCAACTCTGAACAATTAAAAAGAAGAAAGGAAAGCATCCAAAGAGAGAATAAGGCATTAGAAAGTGGTATCTTAAAAAACTTCATTGAACTCTTACTTATTTTAAAATGTCTCATCTTTGCTGTATTTGTCATTACTGATTGTTCCAAATAGAATCTAGTTACTTGCCCTTGAAAAAGAAAAAAAAAAAAAAGCATAACCTGCCCTAGCCATTTTCCTCAGTTGGAATGTCATTTTGTGTACACCAAAAGGTTATGGGTTTGATCCTTGGTCGGGGCTTGTATGGGAGGCAACGGATCAATGTTTCTCACATCAATGTTTCTTTCTCTCTCCCCAGCCTCCCTTCCTCTCTCTCTCAAATCAGTAAGCATATCCTCAGGTGATGATTTAAAAAATAAAGCATAACACTTTGCCAACTCTCTCTGGCCTCAAGGCCTGTGTGGAAGGGGCCTGGGGCCACTTCTGTGAGCTGGGGCAACAGGGACTGAGGCTGCTAGAACCCCCATGCAGTTGGAGCTACCAGGAGCTGATTGCAGCATTTCCCCTGCTCCATGTCATTAGGATTGACACACTTAGCAGTATGTCAGTCGTGGCTACCCTAACAGTGGGCCCTTGCCTAGGGATGAGAGTCATCCTAATGGGGAAGGCCAAGTGGAAATCTCAGAAACCAACCCCACATGGAGGGCAGGGTGTAGGGTGTACCAGTCCACAATGTTCAATAGTGGCCTGGCCCTGGAGACACCGAGGACCCGGACATGACCACCAGATTCCCTCAGGCTTGGCCTGAGGGAGCAGTGGTTCCATCAGCATGTCCTTGCACCTCCATGTCAGTTTTGGCCTCGTGGCTGCAGTGCCCCATGGGGCTCAGGTCCATGGCTCATGCTCACTAAATTGGAGGATTCAGAAAGCACTAAATGTGGTCACATGGCTCTCTGGATGGTGCTTTCCCCTGCCTTGAGACTTATGACCTTGTCGACTTCCTGGGGACAGTGCTCTGGCCTGCATCACCCATGGGGAATTAGTGGCCCACAGTAGGAACATGGCTACACTTACCCCTTCCCACACCTGCCTCTTGTGGGCAGGGCAGCCCATCCCTATTCTTTTCCTGGGCCAGTGGAAACATCTAGCCTTGCCAGGCAATGTGCATCTCAGGGATTTTAACCGCATCCCAGAAAGTGCCCATGACAGACTGCACAGAGTCAGGAGCCGGGTTCCTGCGTCCTCCACCTGGGGGGCCCAGGTGTGACCCCCCTCATACCGTGGCCATCCCATTACAAGCAGGGGCTTCCTCTGGAAGGACAGGTGGGTGCAGGGATGGCCCATATCCCTTCTCTTTACACGTCTAGTGAGGGAGCTAGGTTCTGTGGAGGAATGATGGGCTGAAAGCACCCATGTTGCTCTGCCCTGTACCCCACCGCCTTGCACACACACACACACATGCAGATGTCCACATGCAGGAACTCACAGGCACAGATGCACATGTGCACACATAGAAGCACATGAACACACACGACTTGTAGGAAGAATAGAGGGGGCCTCAGCACCTGAACAGGAACACATGGCCTGGCTGGCCACCTCTGCTGACATGCTTTCCACCCTGGGGCCTTAGTGAGCCCTGAATTCTGAGTCACATCCCATGGAGTGGTGTCACCCTCTAGTGGCCCATGGGCAGACGTGTCAGTCACGCCCACAAAAACTCAAACCCACTGTCTGGGAAATGGGTCTAGGTGTAGTAGGTGGACTTCCCCAACCCCCCACCAAACACACACATCTATCATCCTTGGCCAGCAAGGCCCAACTCTAACGCCCTGCCCCTACCTCTTTCTGAACTCTCTTCCTCCTGGCTGGCTCCTTTGCTGTGTCTGTTTCCTTATCCCCAGACCCCTTCCTTCAACCAGGGTACCTGGACATTGGGTATTTCAGCAGCAAACCCATAAAATGAAGTTGTTTCATGGTCCCTGCCCACTCTAGCCCCAATACTTAGGACATAGAGCGTCCTACTCCCTTCTTTCCTGGTGCTCACAAAACCCCACCTTCACCCCTACTACAGAGTCTTTGGTAAACCACAGAGCCAGACTCTGGCTCCAAGACAGAAGTCACTGGATCTGGTTCTTGATCTGGCTAAGCCAAAGATGGCAGACCACAAAGAGACAAAACTGACGTATGTCCCAGCTTTAGAGGTCCTCCACTATGCAGTCTGAAAGAACCCCTCCCCATAGCCGTGTGTGCAGTTCCCATAAAACAGCACAGCCTCTCCTGCCTTAATCCTCAAAGCATGCAACAGGTTAAAAGTTAAGTAATCATGTGGGCAATTTTTAAGTAATATTCAAAGAGGTTGGAAGAGATAAGAGAAACAAAATGGGAAAATTCTGGAAAGTTTTTTTTAATACTTAAAAAGCTATATAACAAAAGGTAACACGTTCGCTTAAAATGTATACAAAACACTAATATAAAATTTATTTTAGCATGAGATAAGATAAAAGCAAAACATCATATTCTGCGGACTATACCAATTTTCACATGTTACTGTGAGTTTTCATTTGAACTGTGATAATATTACTGAACAGAATAGGGAGAAACACTGTTGTACTGCTCGCCTGTGCTGGTTATGAGGAGCACGGGACACATTTCAAATAAATGCCGAGGACCACACCTTTCCCACAAAGTGGACCATGTCTGACTATTGTAAAGAACACTTTACCTAGAATTTTTTTTGTTGATTTCTGTAACACAGGAATAGGTTTTCTTTATTCATTAAGTAGTCTGAAATGTCTGCATTAAATAAAACAAGCTCACTTCAGATAGGAAATGCTACCTTCTATCTTGAATGAGGTGTACATTTTTAATGCTATGACCACATTCTTTTTTATGGCGATGTAATTTCTCTCATTTCTCTAACCTATATTAATCATTTTTAAACAAAATTTGTCAACATTTTGCATCCAATCAACTGCAGGCAGGATGAAATAAACACATCCATATAGTTCTTTATAAAGAGCCAACAGAACTTGAACTATACCACCCTTTAAAACACTGAAAATGACAGGTCATTTGCCTTCTAATATGCATTTAAAAATATGTAAATACAGCACACTCCTTTTAACAACGCTTGGCTCTGCAGGCCTCTGCCATGTTGTACAAAGATTCCTGAGGAAGTGATCTCACTGCTTCTGTTCATGACTTGGAAAACACAGGTAGAGCCCAGATCAAACACAAGAGGAAAGATTTTTTCTCTCTTCAAATTGCTTGTCCACTGCCAGGGACAGGGCCTGGAGGAAGCCCTCGATGGTGACGGTGGGGGCCTGGAAAAATATGCAGGAGTCGTGGGGTGACCCTTGTTCTTGGGAGCCACCGGCAGCACCCAGCCCATCCATGACACAGAGAGCAGAGGAGACAACTCCAGGCCACTGTTCTGTGTGAACTAAGCTCAGACCCGAGGGGCATGAGCACCACTGAGGCTTGTGAGCTCTTGATGTGTGTGAGCAGAAGCATACAGCATGGCCACCTCCTCCCTAAGGGCTTGAGAGGGCTCCACCGCTAGGGTATCAAGGCTAGTGCCTCCTACAGCCCCAAGAGCCTGTGCCTTTAGAAACTGAGGTTAAATAAGGCAGATATCCATCCCAATGGAACTAAGTGTGACTCCTAGCAGGTCCACACCCTGCTGGAGAGAGTGGGTGGTAGTGAGAAGAGTACCCAGAAGCAGAGGATGGCTGTGGAAAACGTACCTGAATGTACAGTGCATGAGCCAGAAAAGGGAGTTTCCTTAGGATGCGGCCGCTAAGGCCCTCGCTCTTCCTGTGAATGGAACCAAGTGCAGGGATGTCAATTCCATGTGAACAGTCATGTGTTTCAGGACTACTTTTCCCCTCCCGTGTCTCTCAATGTCCCTTCTCTCACAACCCCTCAAGTGGAGCTGGTCTCCTTTAGTCCTCAGCTACTGCTTCAAGTGGGCCAGGGTCCTTGCTGCCCCGATGGGCCACCTACGGGCACCACTGTGCTCAGGGACTGCAATGCCTGCCCAGCGCCATGGATTACCTCACATCTTTATTAATTTTTGTACAAATCTCTGAACTGTTCCCCTCTGTACCATCTCTCTAACAGATAATCCAAAAACAAAAAGAATACTGTTCTTTATGCTATTCCTTTGTTTAAAACCTTCCCCGTGCCTCATGGGCTCAGAATAAAGTTTAAACTGTCTGGTCAGAACTCGGAGGTTCCCTTCACTAGGTCCTCGGCAGTGTAACCCACCAAAGTCCCTGTATATATGGTGTCCACAGCCTTCCAGATTTCTCTCCAGTTTATCTGAATTCTAACTGTCCTTTGAGGCTCTGCTCCATTTTCCCACCTTCCCTTGATCCCCGAAGCCATCTGAGAGCTTGAAAGTGCTACTGACCCTGGACCTCCACCCACTGGTCCAGAAACCCAGGGCCTAGGAAGGTTGGAGGCCCTCAAAGCTCCCCCAGCCTCTGTGAGATGAGTTGGGATTCAACTCCGTTCCCGGACCCCAAAAACACGACCCCAGATGGCTACAGTCAATTATGACTCCGTTACTATAGCAAATGGATTTTTCAAGGTTACAAAAATGAGGTCCATTTGCACCTTGAAATTTCACTTAACAGGAGGCTCAACTTTGACACGTTGTTTTCAATGAAGCCAATCATCTCCAGCTCGCGGAGGGTCAGCAGCTGCTGGCGAGGGTATATGATCTGACACTGGGAAGATAGGGGGCAGAATGTACATGGTCAGCAACAGGATAGCACTGAGAGAACATAAACCACATCACATCTCACAGACATGCAATGGGGTCATTAAACACGTACAACTAACCAAGAAACAGGCTGGTTCCCCTCTCACAGGTGCCCGTGCGCACTCTCTCACACCACACACCTCCCCGCTTCTTCAAACAAAGACAAGAATACAAACAACACAACATGTCTCTGAAACAAGAAGCAACCCAGCCTTTTCTATGCTTTGGCCAACATGTGTCCTCACCATGTGTCAACATGGGAGTCCAATCTGGTATTCGGTCCCAAGGATGTGACACGACCTGTAGATGGCAGAGCTAGGCCCTGGAACCAGGACTTGGCCTACCTTTCAAAGGGGGTCTGTGTTTGTTGTTTTTAAGACTCTCTTTTGGTGGAATAACAGACCAAGGCTCATGGTCCATCTTGTAGACCACATGTCCGCACACTGGATGCTCTGCCAAGCAGCCACACTGAACTGTCAGACTGCCACAATGACCACTACTGAATGAATTTTAACATGAACTGTTTCAATTCAGGAACCAGGAGAGATGAGAGAGAAAGAATGGCTTTCTCCACATCTTTTGGAGGTTTGGTGAGGTTCATGGGTAAAATTAAGAAACAGGGTTTGTGTCCGTTGTGTTCTGACCCCTGCCTAACTAAGTGACTGGCTACCTTAGGCTCCCTGCAGCTTCCCCTGAGCTGCCCCCTGCCACTCCTCCCATTGACAGATGGTGGCCTCCAGGCTCATGCCATACTGGCAGACCTCAGTATCTTCACAGAGACAGCAAAAATCACATTTCAGCCTTCAGGACTAGCCATAGCTCCACCAAAACACTGGAATGCCTCAACTGCAATGCCTATAAACTATAAAAGAAACTACCCCTGTCCACATGCTCAACACCAAGAAAAAGTCTGTGCACTTGCCCAACCCTTAGGGCATCCCCTGGATACACAGCACAAGTGTAAGTGTGACCCCACACTGATAGCACTTGGTGACCTTCAGCAGACTCTGCCATCACAGTGGCTTCTTGAGAGTAATACCGCATTACAGCACTTCTGATGGTCATTTTGGGTCTCCAGTCAAAGCTCCATGGAGCCCCTCTCCCTCTCCCACACTGCAGAAAAGTAGGACACAGTGCACACACCAGGACAGTGCTCACCCAGCTCTGAGACCTGTGCTGAGGCCAGCTCTCCTGTCCCTGTCACAGAGGCTGTGTCATCCTTGTTGAGGATGAGGAGGCTCTAGATCCATGGTGCCAGGATCCTGGTGGATGAGGGGGGTGGGGGGTGGACGAGGGTTGATCCCACCCCAGAAGCAATTACAATGATGCTGTTACTATGATCACTATGTAAGTGCCTATTTGTTGGCTGGCTTGGTTACTGCCCATGGCTTCCCAGTGCCCAGAGCTCCTGGCACCGGGCACACGTCGGGTTCCTGTTAGACTGAATTATAAGAGACCGGCTGTGATTCTGTGCTCACTGCCATCACTAGAACATGGGACCAAAAGCACGTGAACACGGTAGCTGATGGCAGGCTGTGAACCTTTAGTCAGGATACCCTCCCTGTGAACTATGACCTCCCATTAAATAACCTCCCTCTCAACTACAACCTCCAGTCAGATGACCTTCCTGTGAATAATGACCTCTAGTCAGATGATCTCCCTGTGAAGAACGTCCAGTCAGATGACCTCATTATGAAGGACCTTGCAGTCAGGATGACCTTCCTATGAACCAGGACCAGGACTTCTACTGTTTTCTTTCAGGGGAGGAAAATGGGGCGCAGAGAGCAGGTCACTTGCAAAGCCCATGAGAACCAGAACTTGCCAGAAGAAATGTCAACCACAGCCCACACCCCTCCAACTCACTCATCACTTACAGGTAGGTCAAATAATCGTGATGATCATTTTGTGCCAGAAGAGCAAACATATTGAATCAGTGGCCATAAATACTTTGACTATTAACACAACTTGCCAAATAGAACTGAAATTTTCAATCTAAGAAAAATGGTTAATACCATGTCAAAACACCTTATTCCATATTGAAACTAGCTATTTTAAATTATGCCAGGGAATTAAAAAAAATGTAAGAAATTTACTGGTTAGTAGAGAGAGAGAAAAAAAAATCAAAGTACATACCTTCATCAGCTCTTCCAAACAGGACAGGTAGATTTTGAAGATGGCTGCAGCAGAGGGTGGCCCAATATACTGCCTGATGTCTGCCCTGTCCACGAAGGCCACGTCGATCCTCTCCGTGATGTTGGAGGTGGTCAGAATCACCACATTGGAGTGCCTGAGGCAGAGGAGGAAGGATCAGTCAACTGTGCCTCTGTGACTTGATAATATGCTACTCTACACTGGGAGTATCAAGGGGTGCCCTTGAAGGTTCCAAGTGTTTAAATGTTGCTCAGCTGGCTGCACTTTCTGTCCCAATATGAGCCCAGAAGGCCTCCTGAGGCCCTGCAACTCTGAGCTCCTGGCCACAACACAGTGTGCCAGGCCAACTCTCCAGGGGCCTTTGCTCTGGTAGCTTCTCTGCCTTTTAGAAAGCTCTCCTAGACACCTGCTGGCTATCCCCTCACTTCAATTGTGGTAAAGACCAAATCTCTGTAGCGCACCCCGGACCACCCATCGCCTGATCCCCCAGCACCCACACCCCTGCCGGCCTGGCTACAGCCACACAACTGCTCATCACACAACTCTCACCAACACACTACGGAGCTGATTTATCCCCTTTACCAGCTGCTTTTCCCTCTAGCTTCCAAGCGCCACAAGAGAGCCACCATTATCACTCGGCTCACTACATAAGCCAGCACAGAGCAGGCACAAGACGTCCTGGGGAGTATGCTTCCCAGCCTGGTGGGCTTGGGCACAGGGGATGTGGCAGCGCTGCCGTTGGGGCCCATAGTCAGCATACAGGTGGTCCATGGGCAGCTGTGTTGCCAGGGGAGCACCTAGGAAGATCAGCTTCACCCGGATTCTGGAAAGAGGTGCACAGCCCTCTGCAGGGTGAGCAGGGCGAGCCAAATGAAAGCACAGGGATTCCAGAAGCCCAGTGGCAGAAAAGACTGGTGTCGAGGCTGGCGAGCAGGCTGCTTGGTGCAGCACCCAAGTGGGGATGCAGAGGGAGCACATGGCTGGAAATGTACCCCAGGACGGGCTTTGTTACCAAGGGTCTGATGCATACAAAGGCAGATGTGCAAGGCTCGCCCAGAGAGGGACCTGAACCAGGATATGAAGAAATGTGAAGGGAGGTGAGAGAAATCAGAGGCACACGTGTCTCTGCTCCTTCCTGGGCCTACACACCCCAGTGACAGAAGTGTCAGGGTGACCCCATGTTCTGGCCTGAGCGGTGGTGCACGGCAGAGCTATTGGTGTCATGGGAACCCAGCAAATTGGGGTTTCAGGGCCAAATGAACAACTTGGGAGCATGTCTGATATCTGGTCATGGTGGACACACAGATCTGTGACAGGGACTTGCCCACCAGAATCTTGAGTGATGCCAGAGGACTGCAGGCTATGAACAGGCTATGCAGGGAACCCCTGAACAAAGTGAGGAAACAGCAGCAGCAGAAACTGAGGCAGTCAGGGGAGTCAAATGCTGTGGACATTTCCAGGAAGAGAAAACTGAGCACTTGGGTGAACAACGAGTAGTGGCAGGAGTAGAAACCAGTCAGGGAGGGACGGACGTAGCAACAAGGAGGGGGCTACACCTTCCACAAGGCTTTACTGTAGAAGGGTGAGAAGCAAGAGGCTTCTGCAGTTGACCCCAACTAACAACTACATTAGCAGGAAGCTACAGATATTCTCTATGGTCAAACAATGATGAAGGCTGAGATAAGATATTCCTTAGCATAATTTAGTTCATGTCACTCCACATTCAATAAGCTAGCTTCTGAATGATGCTTTAGAGCCCTGGCACCCTGGAATGAGGAAGAAACACCAGAGAACAAACACGAGGACCCTGGTTGCGGAGGGAGCACTGAAGTCCTGCAAAGAGTAACGCAGGGGCAGAGGCGGGGTCTCTGGTTTGAACATTTATTTCCTCATGAGTCAGGTTAGTAGGAGTCACTTTATAAAGCTGGATCACTTTTGGTACATTGAGCACAGGCCTTGCAGGACTAGACTTTGGAAATGTGAAATCTGGCCCTGTGAAGGACAAGCAAGTGATGCTCCACCTACCCAGTGCCAGCCCTTCACCCGTGACAGGCTAGTTGTGCTGGAGCTAGTGCATGATACAGCAGTGGGCACTCTTCATTTTATGTTTCCCTGCAGGGTGAGAGTGTTCACCATGCCCAAGTTCTGTTTGACATTTTTAATACTTAGTAAAAAGTGCTTAATTTCTAAAAAAGGCATTTAGTATATGCTGCCTCAAAAGAAAAAGAGCAACCACTCAATGCCAGAAGCCTTTTTAGTTAGGAGAGCTAGAGTAGGGTCCTGAGGTGTGTGATCCTCACAGCTTCTCTGTGACTTCTCACCTAAGGTCTGTGCGTCAGAGCCTTTATAGCCATGTGCCACATGATGATGTTTCTGTCAACAACAAACAGCGCATGCGATGGTAGTCCCATAAGATTATAATGGATTAGAAGCAAAAGGTTTATTTGCAACGTTAGAAGAAAAAGCTGTACCCGACTACAATATTGATTTTACTGCCAGCTCTGGGTGGTTTAAATAGATGAGAAAGCTCAGCAGGCTGTCTTCCCACTGTGCACCTGTCAATGGCTGGGACCCCAGAGCTGGCGAGACAGAGCGAGGAGGGGAGCCCAGGAGCCCACCTACCCCTATTATACATATTCATGCACACAAACTCACTTCATTTGTGTTTCTTCCTTTTATGTCTGTCTGTCTGTCTGTCTCAGGCTTTACCTCTCTGGTTCTCTTTTGATCTCTGCTCTCCTTTTCTCTTCCCTCCTCCTGATGTCTACTCTCCCTCCACAGCCCTCCCCTTGTTCCCCCAACATGAGTGCACACATATACTTTTCTCTTGTATACCATGTTTTTACTGGACCTTTTCTATGTTTAGGTATGTTCAGATACACAAATACTTCCCCTGTATTACAAATGCCTACAGTATTCAGCACAGTAACATGCTCTACAGGCTTGTGGCCGAGGTGCAATAGGCTGTATCATATAACCTATGTGTGCGTGGGCTATGCCATCTGGGTTTCTGTGTGCTCTACGATGTTAACGCAACAGCAAATCACCTAATGATGCATTAAGTGGCATGTGACTGTATTACCTCTTAATCTGATCGATTTGGGTCAAGACAGCATTGACCACACGGATGGCATCTGAAGGCTCAGTGCCTGCCCTGCAGGCATTACGGGCAGCTGTGAGGCTCTCCACCTGTGGGAACAGAGCAATGGATCAAAAATTACAGCACCTGGCCCCACGGGGCAGCCATGGAACACATTAACTGAGCAAGTGAATGAACAAATGAATGGATGTACGGATGCCTGGGTATGCCAGGGGTTCCGCATGTGGGATGCCAAGGAAGACAGGATTGCATGAGACAGTGACTACCCGATGGAGGCTGGACTGAGCAAGGGGCGGTTGTACCCTGGCAACAAGAGGCATTGAGTTTTGAATTTCCTCTATTGCAGGTTTCACATCTGAACATGCCTACCTCGTCAATCAGCACGAACACCAGAGCGTCTTTGTCATCAATTAGATCCTGGATCTTCTGGAACATCTTAGTTACTAGCTTGCCACTCTGGAACCAAAACACTCTTAGTGTTGATCTGCATTCTTCATGCTGCCTGGTGCACACATGGCCCAGCCTGGCATCACTCTGACCCCAGGTGTTCCCACAAGCCCACCGTCTGCTGATGGCCCTTGGAGAACTCACTACATCAGAGAAGCCAGGTCTGCAGGGGTGGAGGTCAATCCAAATGCCCTCTCTCCCTGCTTTATGTGCCAGGACACTGAGACTTGATCCCACACTGACTCCTGTCCAGGGCCACATGGCTTACCTGTCTGCTTTCCTCTTGCGAGGAAGCTGTCCTCACAACTGGGAATGAGATGAATTATGAGTGCAAACCAGCTGGGCACAGCCCTTACAGATACTCTCTGTCCCCATTCCCATCCACCAGAAGGGCCTACTGACAGGGCTTCCTGGAGCAGAGCATTTCAGTAGTGAAGGACACCTGTGAGGTCACCTTGTCCAAGCCCCTCAGTGCACAGTTGGCTGAATATGGCTCAGAGCCCCGAGGGCATGCTCAGCTGAAGAGTTAGAAATCGGGGTGTCCCCTTCTCCTAAGACAATGTTGAATGTCCTTTCCCACCCAAAGGCCTAGACGTGCCCAACCTCTTGGGCCTCAGACTATTTCCAAGTTACTGCTTAGCTCTAGAAGTCTCCTTTGACCACAAAGTCAGCTGCACAGAAAGTTTGCTTAGTATACAGGACAGCTTTTCAACTACATGGCTGACAACCCAGAGAATTAGAATATTAATACTTACTTCTGAAAACCACTTAGAAAAGAGACTGTGGCTGTTTATTTCAATTAATTGTCCATACCGGTACCTAGGATGATAAAAAAGAGTTAAGACAATTACTTTGCAAATTAGTCGTCCCACATCCACAGTAGCAGCACTTTTGCTCATTAAATACAACGTCTCTCAGCTGCCCAGCATGGTGAAAATTGCTAATTTGTTAAGAGAGAATCAAGGTACCCAGCACTCTGCATACTAAATAAGTATAAAAAATTTAACAGAATGCAACCAACAGTTCTGGTTAAAGCAAATTAAAATTTTCAAACTGAATAATATCTTCATTTAAACAAGAGTAATATCCCTCTAATTTTTAATCTACTTGTAATTTATATTTATGTTTAAAAAGTACTACTGATACTAATATAGCAAGTAAATCTAAACAAGCATCAGAAGTTTTGGCTAGAGCTGAATATTTTTTCCCCCTTCCACAAAACCTTAAAGAATGTGACAATTTGTTTTCCAGCACAAACTCTAGCACTCTGGATATTCAGATGGCAAAAAGTGAACCTTACACACTAACTGAATGACATCCAGCACTAACACTCCAGTCACTCAGGAGGCAGCTGAGAAGTCTGGACACACTTAGCTTTGACTAGAATCACACAAGAAACCTGACTGAGACAGGACAGAAGTTGACACCCAGGTATTCTCCACAGTTTCTTTCATGTCAAAAGTCTACAGAAGAAAATGAATTACTTTCAAAAAGTATCACTGACTTTCCATTTAAAAAAGAGAGGAAGACCATTTACTAATTCTGTTCACAAAAGAAGAGAGAGGATAGACAATGTAACAAAATAAAAACTGGGTTCAGTATTAAACAAAGTTAATTGATTATAAAACATTTTAAGTAAAGTAAGCAACAAAGGCTTGCTAAAGCTTCTTTTTGCAATTTGTGAGACACAAAATAAATATACATTTCCAGATATTTGTACAGTCATGTGTCACTTCACAACGGGGATACATTCTGAGAAAATGCATAGTCAGGCGATTTCGTCACTGGGAGAACATCACAGAGGCACGTACGCAGATCTGGGTGCACAGCCCACTGCTCCTGGGCCACCAGCCTATACAACCTGTTATTGTGCAAAACAGCACAAGATTAAATCAAGCACAAGAGAAAATGATGCCATCAAGAGACACGGTAATCACAAGATGTATGATGCCAGCATAATGAGGCATAACACTATTTTATAGAAAACTTTTTATAAGTAGAAAGAGTAGACTGTAAAATAACAATAAAAAGTATATTACAGTAAGCATATAAACCAGTAGCATAGTTGTTAATTATCAAGTATTATATACTGTACGTAACTGTGTACTGTACTTGTACATGACTAGCAGCACAGTAGGTTTGTTTACACCAGCATCACCATGAACATGTGAATAGTGCGTTGTACTGACATTATGATGGCTACAATGTCACTAGGCAAAAGGAATTTTTCAGCTTATGGGATCACCGTCATATATCCAATACACCGTTTACCAAAACATAGTTATACAGTGCATGACAGTACTGGGAAAACTTGTTTTGTGATAACATCTTCACTCTCTGGTATGATAGGAAACTGCCCCTAGAGATCTTTAAACACATTTCAATATGTCAAGACAAGGGAAAAGTTGTTAAGCATAAAATAAAGGATTAAAAAAAGCAATTTCCCTATGTAAAAAATACTTACAAGACATTTTGAAATGAAAGTAAGTATTTAAATGTAAACTTCACAGAATTTCCTTTTCTAAAGCCAAACAGGAGTAACAGGTACCAGACTTACCCTCTGCTTTCAACAATTAGAAAACTGCATGGAATAAATGAGACAATATCTATGAAGGGCGCTGGACAACAGGACAGGCACCAGAGGACCTCAGAGAAAGGAAATAAGGTAAGCACTACAATCACCAGGCTTTCTGCCTGGAGCACCTGGAGAGGACTCAGGAAGAGCACAGACATTGTGCTGAACTGAGGAAACAAAAATCAGTTCAAAGAGCCTGAGGCAGCAGGACGCTGCAGAGCAGAGGTCCAAAGGGGAGGCAGATTTTCAGGAATAAAGCACCAGAAACCACCCTGCAGTCCCTCTAAGTGTTCACTGAACACTTGGACACCTATGGGCAGGGAAATCCATGAGGCTTTCCAGACCTGAGAGCTAAGCAGTTCCTGGAGCTCACATAGACAGCCAAGGGGGAGAATACTTGTTATTCATTCACAGTGTTCAACTGAGACCCCAGCAGGGGCCCACTTGAGAATTAAAACTAGGCTACACTTAAGACATCTTGCTAACAAAGCTTAAAAACAAACCTCAAAAGGATCAAATAAATCATGAGTAACTGAAATGCCTACCAGAACAAGACCCAACAGTCTTTACAGAGCCCAGACACTTCAAATCACAATGTCCGCATTCAAACAAAAATTACTTGACATGTCGAGAGCATAAAATGTGTCCTGTAACCAGAAGAAATACAACAGACTCAAATAATGATTATGAACTTAGTCAACAAGAACATTAAAACAGTTTTTATAAATTGTGCAAGGGTTTTAACAGAACATAGTGAAAAGTATAAAAGGAACCAGAGAGAACCTCAAAGAAAAATATTCACTATCAGATATGAAAATTTTACTGACTGGAATTCAAAGCAAATTAGATACTGCAGAAAAACTGTCCAAAATGAAACACACGCAGAAAAATTTTTATACCTGAAAAAACAAAAGAGCATACCAATGGCCTCTGAAACAGTAACACACAAGCTATTACTCAAATACATGGACTCTCAGAAGAGGGGTGGGGTGGGGGGCAAGGAAATGATGGTCACCTATTTCCCAAATGTGATGAAACCATAAACCTGAAAACAGGAATCAAGGAGAAACAGACAAATCCACTCTTAGATACTTGGCCATTCCTTTCCAGTCAGTGACAGAATAGCAGACTAGACCATCAAGCAGGCACATCAAGTACCCTGAGCTGACATCCACAGAACATACCATCCAAGAAGAGCAGAAACACTTTCTCTGAAGTGCACATGAAACAGTCAGCAGGGCAGTTCATGTGCTGATCATTAAGCAAGTCTCCATAAATTTAAAAAAACCCAAAATCATAACTCACGACTAAGTTGAGTGTAGAGGAATTAATTTACATTGAGAGAGGGACCTTACTTGTCATGTCAAGTTATTGAAAAAAAAGGACAGCTTTCACTATTATAAAGGGAAAGCAGGAAATCCTATTCCTGCTACTTCCCTCTTTCAAATCACCCAGGTTACCTGCTTGAAAGTCGAATGGTCAATTTCTGGGCCAGAGCTCTGCACAGGGATGTTTTTCCAGTTCCCGGAGGACCTGTAACAAAATTTAAGCAAGTGCATGTTTAAGTCAGTGCTATACCAAACTTCTTAAAACAACAGCAGTTGCATTTTCCACAGAATACAAAATAAGGAGAGAGTTCAATACTTTGAATGTTCTTACAAGCACTGCTTGTTACCTCACAATGAAATCTGCTGGCAGAGTAAGTGCCATAAAATATTACTAATACACTTTAAAGAAGTCTTTCTTCCTTTCTTCCTAATTTGAATTTAACTTGTGTTTCTGGTCTGAGCTCCCACTGCCACTGGTACAAGCCCTGCTTCTGGACCCAGGGGCCCGCTCAGCAGTCTAAGTGAGCACTGCATTTCCTGGTCTCACATCTTCACTGACACCCTCCTTGTCCCCACATGTCCTCTCAGTGGCAGCTTTCAAAGGTCAAACGCACCTTTCCAGCTAATCATGAGGACTCTCAGGCACTGAAGTTTGCCCTGCCTGCAGCCCACAGCCGCACCATCTGTCACTATGGCTATTTCTACATGGGCCCGCACCCCATACTAAACCTGAGGATGCAGGAGAGGACCCTTGCCTGTACAACTTCTTGCTCTGTGTGTCACCTAGTATGCCTTGCAGAGGTTCTGAGGTGACCAATGCATAAGAACAAATGCATCTAATAGAAAATGCTGATATGTTGAACTTTGATTTTCTGTAAGCATATTCAGTAACAAAAGAGAAAATATGTAATAAGTTCTAAATGAAAAATAATTGAAATACCTATCGATTGCCTACTCTAATCTTGGTATCAGGACAACGTGCTGAGGTATCTGCTATTTAAAAGACAACTTTTCTTAAGGTGCATATAAGTGTACAACCTTAATGACATAAAGAGACTAGTTACTCTGAACTCCTACATCATTATAATTTGGGTATCCTATATTTCTTTCCATCCAATGTTAAGAAAAATACCCACTATATTCCACCGAGGATTTCTATGAAGTATGGTTTTGCAGTTTACTACTCACAAAGAAAAGCTCTAAGAATGTTACAAAGAAATATGAGACACTTTCTTTTCCAGGAGTTTATGATCAGTTGGGGAAATAAGAGTTAATTGAAAAGTTTAATAATAATACAAAAAGTCACAAGGCAGTAACTGGGTAGCTGCCAAACGATGGGTCACGTAACAAATACCCAGAGAAATGTGAGCTGCCATCAGCTTCACACAGAAGGAACATTTTAGGACAACTCTGGCTCCACGAACAAAACTGCTGTAGCTCTTCACAGAAGAACAAAGGTATGAGTAAAGCCTGACATCACACAGTCTATCTTGTAAAATGCAACCCCACATGCTTTACCATGAAGCAGCACCACCCGGTTCCAAGTGATGAGATTGCTGTCGACGTTCCTGTCTGAAAACAGTAATGCTGTCATCACATAATCGAGGAGCTGAGTAAAGAAAGGAAAAATACAGATAAAGAAGCCAATAGGGGAAGGTTCCCACTATGTGTGCTCTTACATGAAGAGCAGGGACAGGAGCAAGGCAGCCCTCCAGCAACTACCACCACCAAACACTTCCTGGATACATCACAAGCTTTCATTTTAGAATGGAACTTTAAACAAAAGAGGGTAACTGCTGGCTATTACCATTATAAGCATAAAAGATAAACAGAAAGACACTTTTATTTAGAATGCCGAGATCACACAAAATAACTAAGGGACTCTCCCTGCTGGTGTGGCTCAGTGGGTTGAACGTTGTCTCATGACCTGAAAGGTCACCAGTTCAATTCCTGGTCAGGGCGCATGCCTGGGTTGTGGGCCAGGTCCTCAACTGGGACATGCAAGAGGCAACCAATTGATGTTTCTCTCACACATCAATATTTCTCTCCATCTTTTTCTCCCTCCCTTTCCTTCTTTCTAAAAATAAATAAATAAATAAATAAAATCTTACAGAAAAAAAAAAACCCAACTAAGGGACTTATCAAGCAGGAGAAGTAGGCAAGCACATGGCACACTTACTGAAAGCAGTCAGGACTCCCTTGTCTTGCTGTGGCTGCCCAGAGCAGCCTAGAGGGGCAGGATACAGACTTCTGGCATCCCCCACACCATGCAGAAGGACCCTTCCCCTTGGAGTGGGTTCACACACGCTGGTACCTGCTCTGTTTGCCCTGTGGCACAGTTCCCTCAGCTCCCATGGGCTCCTAAGAGGGAAGCTCCACAGAAGCTGTCTTCATATTTGGTACCCTCCCTCTTCCCCCTCAGGGGATGCCCCAGAGGCCAGCTCTACTTGGGAGCAATCCCAGAGGGCGGACATCCAGAATCCTGGCTGCTGGCAGCTCCCAAAAGCCCATTTAAGTCAAAGAGCTCTGAGGTGGTGGAGAGCAACACAATAATTTTGCTTCAAATAACAGGGACTTTGGGGGAAAAGTGCAACTTACATGAGATTTGATTTCCACATCATACACCAGGCTGTCCCACAGCCCATGGAATTCAGCTGTGACAGAATAAAACAAAAACTTAACTTCAGAAGAGCAAGCATTACACCTACCAGCTAGGTCTGCCCCGGGCTGCCAATGCTCTCCCCTCCTCCACACATGGTATGCTAAGGGTCTGATTACAGGGAAGTTACATTTTTTTAAGTTTTTCTTGAAATTAAATACATAAAATAAAAGCCAGTTACATTGGACTCCTGACAGATAATAACTGGGTAAGAGTTTTTGTCATGTTATTATGCAGAGTTGTCTTTTATGGACCCACGCTTTACACAGCACAGACCCTGAATCCACCACTCTCCCTATAAGCCAACACTTGGGCAAGGCAGACCAGCAGGTCTAGTCTAGCCATTAGGACATCAGACATAAAACCCGATGACAGAGTTAACCCCAGGACTCTGCCTGCAAGAACACATTGGCAAGTCCACAAACAAGCATCAAGGCAGAAGGAGGAAGAAGTAGTCTTCTTTCCTGACCAATTGGGCAGGAAAGAAGAGTTGGTCACCTTCTCAACAAATACCATCTGTGAAGAAACAGTCCAAAGGAACCCTCTACTTTATTCTTTGTAATATACTTACCATTTTATATGAGATAAAAATGCCCTGACGTCCTACAAAACAAACAAAATCTCTCTGGTTAACTGACTTGGCAACTCTAAGGTGTGCGTCATCCTCTGACCTCGTGTGGACAATCTACTTACTGTTACTATCACACATACCTGCAGGGAGAACCCAATGATTTGCTGCAATTATATTTTCTGTCTCTTCTTCCAAATTTTCACTGATGGGGCCGTCTTCACTTAGGTGGAAGATGTGAAGTGCAATAGTGCATGCGCTCAAATCGATGGGCTGTGATGAGAAAATCAAATAAATTTACACAAATGGAAAAACCACTCACTTTCTAATTCTGAAGTCTGTTTTTTAAAATCCTCACCTGAAAACATGCTCATTGATTTTAGAAAGAGGGGAAAAGAGGGAGAGAAACTTCGATATGAAAGAGAAATATTGATCGGTTGCTTCTTTTATGTGCCCATTAGGAAACAAACCTGCAACCTAGGCACATGCCCTGACCGGGAATCAAACCGCTTTACAGTACAATGCTCCAGACAACTGAGCGACACTGGACAGGGCTCTAAAGTTCATTTTTAATAGTAAAATCCAAAAATAAAGACTTAAGGTGCAGTATGTTCAAAACTAGTTCTGAGATTAGATAAAACACTATTATTTTATTTCAGACTTAGAATTAGCTCTTTTAAAAATATTTACCCCTCCCCTTTTACTACCTAACATCTGAAAAAAAAACTTTATTGTTTTTATAATTACAAAAGTAACACATGCTTGTTGAAAAAATTGCAACTATAGAATGGAAAATGTCAAAGTTTCCTACATCCAATCTCATAACATTAGTCTATAGCACATCCACAAAAGTGATTCTATCACAGCTTTCTACCCTTGCTTTTCCCACTTACTGGAGCTTAGAGACATTTTATGTTGTAGATAGATAACTTTCTTTTTCATGGTTATATCATATTTGGTGTGAATGTGCCAGATGTTTACCAACCTGTTATGGATAGTTTAAATATTTCAAATTGTTAGCTACTATTAACAATAGTATTTGTTCCTATATCTCTACAAAATTACAGAGTTATCTGTTAAGATAAATTCTTTGAGGCGCAGCCCTGGCTGGTGAGAGGCTTAGAGGATTGAGTGCCGCCCAGTGAACCAAAGTGTCACTGGTTCGATTCCCAGTCAGGGCACAGGCCTGGGTTGTGGGCCAGGTCCCCACTGGGGGGCGCTCAAGCGGCAACCACACACTGATGTTTCTCTCCCTCTTTCTCCCTCCCTTCCACTCTAAACATAAAATCCTACCAAAAAAAAAAAAAAAGAAGAAAAAAAATTCCTTGAGGTGGATCTGCAGTCAAAGATGTTTAGTGGGTAGCACCCATGCCCTCCAGTTACGCTGTGCTAACTGTCCCTCCACAAGTGTCGGAAAGCTCTCCAGTTCCCCTCAGGCTGACCAAAATCAAATACAGTGGCATCAGATATCAGGATGGGTAGAACTCCAACAATGCCACGAATGTTGGTCGTAATATAAGAATGGGGAGGTCCACCACATAAGCATTATTTTAGTGCCATATCAATTCTTCCAAATTGACTCTTTATAAGAATAGAAATTGTCCAGGTATCAGTGACACACATTCCTGAGGTAGACACTTTGGGTTGCTTTTACAGTGGTAGAACTGCCACAACGCATCCACAGCTACACAAAGCTCTTCTTAGCTCCCACACATGAACTCTGTAAGATGGTGGCTGAGGCAGTCCGTACGGTGGACTAGATGAAGTTTCAAGAAGGCAAGCCCATTTCCTCATTTCTGTTGTCCCTACACATCCTATGGTCCTAACGCACGCTGAGCTCTCCATAAATATTTTTTTATTGAAAGAATAAGAGAGAAGGCTCACAGACCTCATCAGTGCAGCCCCACTGTTCTACGGAGCTGCATTTTAATTCCTGGTTTCCAATCCCTCCCCGACTGTATTGACAGCACGCTGAAACTGGGGCCAAGTCCACTCCCAGCATCTGGCTCCCGCCAGAGAGCCAGTACTTGCCTGATCATCAAACCGACAGGTAAGCAAAGCAAACCAGTTTCTGTCATACACTATGAAAGCAGCAAGCAGACTCAGGGCACCAAATTTCTACTCAGGTAAGGGTTAACTGTTTCTTCACACTGGAAGTTAGTAACTTACCTGTGGGTCTTTGATCTTTAATTCCGTGTCAACAATAGACACAGACTGCACATTCCTGGTCAGAAAAGGTTCATCAAATTCGGTCCACGTGTAATCTCCAAATACAATATTATGCCTGTTAAGGAGCTTTCTAACACTCAGCTTTATATCTTCTTTTTTTGCTGTGCTGGACAAACAAAACACATATATCGGTTGTAGGTTAAGGACCAAGATTTAAACAATACTTTTTTAAAAAAAAGAAATCAGGGCATACATACGAAAGTGCAGCACTTAAGAGGAACGGCGAAGGGGACCTGCCTGGGGATCAAAGATAGAGTCACTCACTACTGCCTACTTGCCTTGTGGCCAGGGAGCAACCCAAGGGCTTTGTGCTTCAGCTCTGCATCAGATAAATGGGGCAGTAGCAAGACTTCTTGCTACATTAGGTTACTATAAAGATTAGTCAATACATTCAAAGATTTAGGACAATGCCTGGTACATAGTAAGCACTCAATAAATGTCGGCTGTTCCTATTATTAGTGAAAGAAGGAAACCCCACAGCTGTGGGATCAGGTCAGGAGTCTGCATTTTAACAAGTGTCCAAGGCCTGGCATTCACTCTGAGAAAACCTGGCTCCGCTCAGCCCACCTTGCCACCTGACAGCCATGCGGACTGGTTCTGAGATCACACTGAGAGCTCTGAGTATATGGCTCGTTCCAACTTTCCGCTTTCCTGGGCTGCGCCCGACAAGGCTCTGCGTGGGTCCCGTTCAGGGTCAGCCCAGATGGGTCTGGACCGAGTTCGGCGCAGTAGGCTCCGGTCAGGGTCTGGACCAAGGGTTATCGGTCAGGGGCACGCAGGTGCCGAATCCGCTCAGGGCTATCCGGGTTCTATCGGGTCGGGTCGGCTCACCTGCCGCTCCGCTGGTGCACTTCCACATGGACTATCGGCGTCTCAGCCACACAGGGCAACGCCTGCTTTAGGTCCCCCACGGCCTGGTCCATGGCGCCACCGCCGCCACGAGCCCCGGGTAGACGGCCCGAGCGTGGCCGCCGCCTGACGCCCGGCGCCGCCACCACATCCAACACCAGTGGCTCCGCCACAGCCGCCACAAGGCCCGCCGGCCCCGCCCGCACTTCGAATCTGCCGCGCGCGGCGCTCCGTCCCCTGACCCGGAAGCACTCGTGCCAGTGAGCCAAGGGGCCACTTCCGGGCGCAAGGTCCGCTTCCGGCGCGGCCCCAAGACCTCCAGAAGCTGAGACCGGCGGCGAGCCAGGGCCGTGGGGGCGGTGCCCACGCTCCTGCCGCGTTCGCTGCTGTCCACGGTCCCGCGCTCTGCCTCGTAACCGCAATGGGCAAGAAGCACAAGAAACACAAGACCGAGTGGCGCTCGTCGTACGAGGGTGAGGGAGAGGGCGCGCTTTGTGACGCCGGGCTGGGTGGGCGTTCGCGCGGGCGGACGGGCGGGCCACGGTCCCGGGGAAACGCTAAGGATCCCGGGCTCGCGGTCTTTCGTGGGGGGCGGGGTCCCGGGCTCGCGGTCTTTCGTGGGGGGCGGGGTCCCGGGCTCGCGGGGTGGGGACTTGAGTTTTCTGTCTGGTCCACCTCCAAAGTCCTGGAGAAAAGCCAAGCATCTGAATTGGCTTGGGGCTGGGTCTCCGGGAGGTCTTATCACTTTGTCCTTCCCTGCCTGGTCGTGGTCCTGCAGCAGTACGTTACGTGTTAGCGGACAACAAGGGGGTAGACAGGGGCCGGGGGCTTTGGGATGCGGGATCCGTCTGTGGGGTCCCAACTCCTGGCCTTGTTGCTCCCCCTGGTCTTGTTGCTTTCCCCTCTCTGTGGCTCCCTGAGGATAATGCAGTGTGAGGGAGAAGGAAATGGAGACGAAAGGGAAATAACACTCAGCCACTGTCAGCTTTGCCCAGCCGTCTTTTTCTAATGTTTTTAGCATTTCTCTGCTCCGCCTTAGTAAGGCCAGCCCTCTAGGGCTCCATAGTAGCACCCATACATTCGGCCAGCCGTGCCACCCACCTGGGTGATGTTTTCTCTAAGCATGCACTGTGAGGGCCACGGTTTCTGTCTCTACAGATTATGCAGACAAGCCCTTGGAGAAGCCCCTGAAGCTGGTCCTCAAGGTTGGAGGAAGTGAAGTGACTGAACTCTCTGGATCTGGCCATGACTCCAGTTATTATGATGACAGGTCAGACCATGAACGAGAGAGACATAAAGAAAAAAAGAAGAAGAAAAAGAAAAAATCAGAGAAGGAGAAATATATGGACGATGAAGAAAGAAGGAAGCGAAAGGTAAAAGGGGGTGGGGTGGCCAGCTTGTGCTGACCCCAAAACCCCTGGTGTGGCAGACAGAAGGAGTGCTACAGGGCTTAGGAAAGGGGGTGTTTTGTTTGTAGTGAAACAGACCACAAAGGTAGTTGCTTCAGTTCTGGCTCTTTGTGCATCACTTTCTCCCCACCCCTGGGGAGGGTCTTTACAATGGTGGGGGTATGGGGTGAGAAGAGTCTCTGGAAGAGGGTATTTCTTTTAGCTTTGTGTTTTCCCTTAGAAACAGGAGGTTTGTTTAAAACTGTTTTCATTGCTCTCACTGCCTTGACTTTGCCTCATAGGAAGAGAAGAAGCGGAAACGGGAAAAGGAACACTGTGACACAGAGGGAGAGGCCGATGACTTTGATCCTGGGAAGAAGGTAGAGGTAGAGCCGCCCCCTGATCGGCCAGTCCGAGCGTGCCGGACGCAGCCAGGCAAGTGCTGGCATTTTCAAAGACTTTTTTTTGTACCGTTGGAGCTTGTTACTGTGAAGCAGCAGTTATTGTGTCTTTTAGCTTTTCGGGAGAAGCACAGAATGAAGGAACAGTATTTTCTCTTCCAAGGCCTCACGTGATATATAACTGGATCTGAGGTTCTTGCCATCATCTTTGAACTTCTAGAGCAAGGTTTGGCCAACTGCTTCTCCTGGTCTTTTTCTTTAAGCCCACGAGCTAAGAAGCTTATCATAGATGGGAGGAGGGTAGTGTTTCAAGGACTCCAGAAACACTGGGAGCTGTGCTAACTCCACCAAAGGAGAGCTTCTGGAACACTTTGACCTGTGTGTGGTCACTTCCCTCAGAGGCTTCCAAATGGTCAGGAGGTTTGCTCTTCAGGCAATTCTTTTCTTGCCTGTGGAGGTAGAAAGTATTGTATTGTAATCATGGTGGGCTGCTACCTTGTTGCTACTTCTCTAGCAGTACCCTCCCATGATTGAGTCATTGTCACAGTTAACAGGTAGGACTTGGAACTGCTGAGCATGTTGGGGAGAAGAGAAGGTCAGGTGCAAACAACATTTCATGAAATGAATGTCTGCAAAGTTAGTATAATCACTGGTAATTGTTAGCTTAATATAACTTACCTCCTGGAGGTCATACATTGGGCACTCCCGCCACCCCCCCCCCCAGCATTATACCTGAAGAGTTAGTGATCACATGATGCTGTCTTGATCACTCTGAAGAGTGTCACTGTTAGGGACCTGCTGGTGTGCATTCCTGTTGTGCTTCATACTTGGTTTCTCAGTGGAGAATTGCATTTAGAAACCAAAATCCAGGTGCTGGGTGTAGCCTTCTGTGATCAGAGCTAGGAAAGTCCACTACATATGTACAGCTTCTAGAGGGAACCTAAACTGACATCTGTGTTTACATTCACCAAAAATTATGTTTTCACTTGTGTGCTCAGAGGCGTAGCTAAGAACTGCAGGGCTGACAGTAACCCCTGTGCAGTGTGTATTCTTATCCCTGTTTTACACTTGAACAGGCATATCCAGAAATTTTGGACTCTTAAGTGAAATGGTAGTTGGTGAATGCATCAATTTCTATATCCAAAGCCTTTGTTCTTTTTTTCATACCATATCTGGAATATACCAGACCCACTGGTGACAGGGATTGGAAATAGATTGATGACTAATAATTACGTGTTGTTGGTTTAAGGGATATCAGCACAAGGGTTTGGGGACTGATGTGCGGGTGCCCTTTACACCCAGCTGAACGTGGTGGGGGCCAACGCTGGCTTTGGTTTATCTTTGTATCCAGTTCTTATTTGAGCCCTCCTATGAAAATGCTTTGGAACTCAAAACAAGTAAGTACGTACTGTGAAATTGGAGCGCTCCAGTGAAGTGATATCAAAATCTTTTTGTTCAATTTTATTTTTTTACTTTTTAAATCAGCTGAAAACGAGAGCACGCCTATTCAGCAACTACTAGAGCATTTCCTCCGCCAGCTCCAGAGGTAAAGAGTGTTTCTAAAGAGCTTTTATTTGAGGGCATTTGGGTTCTTCTCTCTGAGGTGTACTTGCCTCCACCACCGTCACTGTGTCCTCACTGGTAACGCCCAGTTGGATGGTGTGAGCAAGCACCATTCAAGAGCAGAGCAGGGAGGGCTCTGTCAATGTTGGGAGTCAGAGAGCTATGATGTAGATGTCATGGTTGCAGCCAGGATGCTAGTCATGGAAATTTTAGTGCATCCAAAAACACCTATCACAGTTTTAAAGGGCAAAAATTTTATTTTTTATATTTAAGAAACAAACTTTGGTCAATTAAATTTTTATGGTGAAGGGTTTTGTATCATTCAGAAATTTAGGTTTTAGCGGTTTCCAATTTAAATAAAGGTGTTTTTGTTTTCAGAAAAGATCCTCATGGATTTTTTGCTTTTCCTGTTACGGATGCAATCGCTCCAGGATACTCAATGATAATAAAACATCCAATGGATTTTGGCACGATGAAAGACAAAATTGTGGCTAATGAATACAAGTCAGTCACAGAATTTAAGGTAAATTAATTTCAGTTCCTAAAATAATTGTTAGGGAGCTCTGCATTAGTTTATGTCCAGTAAACACTTCATTCATCTTAGGTCATTTCCACTTGCAAGTTTTCACAGGTGTTTCTGTGTTTGGGTTGATGTTTCACAAATACAGCATCAAGGAAATGGGTTGGTTGTAAATTTCTCTGTATTTTGGTCTAGAGCAGCAATTTTCAACCTTTTTTATCACATGTCCCCCATAAATGAATTACTGTAATTCTCTATTTTTGCTGATCTGACCAAAAAAAACCAAAAGGCATAATTTTGATTCATTCACACAGGATGGCTGTTGTGTTGGCTGTTATAGTTGTTTTTATTTTGACAGTCTTAAGGAAAAGAGATCAGTGCCCCTGACTAAATAGTCAGGTATTTAGTTGCGTGAGTTTATGAGTTGCATGTTTTAAAAATTTTTTCAGCACGCTGATGAGCTTCTCATGGCACACCAGTTGAAAATTGCTGGTCTAGAAGCTGGCCCACATGTTACATGCTATTTGAAGTGCATTTCTGTTTTGTTGTTGTTAAGTCATGGTGCTGGCATAAATGAGACATGTTAGGTCAAGCAAGGTTGTATCTTATTTGGCCTGGTTCCAGAATGGGCATTTTTAAAAATACAATTTTTCTCAATACTCAGTTTTATCTTGTAATAACTGGGAGTTTGGGGTTTTTTTTTAGAACAATAAATTCTTGCCCTGGCTGGTGTGGCTCAGTGGATTGAGTGCCGGCCTGCAAACCAAAGGGTCACTGGTTCCATTTCCAGTCAGCGCACGTCCCTGGGTTGTGAGCCAGGTTCCCAGTTGGGGGCATGCAAGAGGCAACCACACATTGATGTTTCTCTCCCTCTCTTTCTTCTTCCCTTCCCCTCTCTAAAAATAAATTTTAAAAAAATAGAATAATAAATCTCTTAAGTCCCCCGAGTATTTAGCTCTAAACTCTCTCCTTAGTACTGGCTGTGAGAGGTAGAAATTGTTGATTGGCTCCAAAACCCTGGGGGGAAATCAAAACAAATGCTTGACAACATTGGCAGTAATGTCATTCAGGAGACACATTAGGCTTCTTTCTCAGGTCTGTTAATTTCTGGAAAACTTGGCTTTTCTGTATTTACTAGAGATGTTACTGAAAGGATTTGCTGACCTGCAGAAACAGCATGCCAAATTAGAAGGGGAGTAGGAGAAA